GATTAATCAGTCAATAAACATTTATTAAGCATTTTGTGTTCAGGTACTGTGCTAACCATTGGGAATACAAAAGAAGGCAAAAGACAACCTCTGTCTTCAAGGAGCTTACAATCTAATGCTAAAGACCTCATGAAAACAAATATATACAAAGCAAGAAAAATATAGCATAAATATAAATAATTAAAAGAGGGAAAGTGCTAGAATTAAGAGGAATTAGGGAAGACTTCTTGTAAAAGGTGGGATTTTAGTTGGAACTTACTGGAAGCCAGAGAAGTCAGTAGGTGGGACATAAGAGGAAGAGCATTCCAGGCACGGGAGTAAGTGAAGGAGGAGGTCCTGGAGGGCTTTGAATGCCAAACAGAGCATTTTGTATTTGTTCTTGGAAGCAATAGGACGTTTGTTGGGGTGGGAAGGGGAGTAACATGATTAGACCTACAGTTTTTAGGAAAATCACTTTAGTATCTGAATAAAAGATGGATTGGAGTGGGGAGAGACTTTGAAACAGGCAGTCTTTCTAGTGAGACATTGATACATTATTCAACACTCTTTAGGTGTGGTCAATCAATTTATCTTCTAATCCACAACTTTCCATCTTGTCCACAAGAACATTGTGAGAGTCTTCCTTAAATATTTTACATAAACTCATTTCTTACCTAGTCTTAATCACTGAATGGGTGTTACCTCAGACAAACTGAGACCTGGGAAAGACATTACCTAAAAAGGCCAAGGTCTCCCAGTGCATCCAGGGCCATCTCCGGTTGTCCTGATGTATGTCTGTCACTAGACCCAGATGGCTCTGGAGGAGAGAATGAGGCTGGTGACTTTACAACACCCTCCCTCACTTAAATCCAGTTCACTTGCAAGTCAAGACACCACCTTCCAGATGCCATTGGTTCTCTTTGAGAATGAAGGACAAATAACAATATAAGCCCAGGTATACTATGATCATGGGATAGTTATGTGGCACAGTGCATACAGAGCCAGGACTAGAGTTGAGAAGACTCACCCTACTGAGTTCAAATATGGCCTCAGACACTTACTAGCCATGTGACCCTGGGTAAGCCACTTAACCCTCTTCGCTTCAGTTTCCTCATCTATAAAATGGGCTGGAGAAGGAAATGGCATACCATTCCAGTATCTTTGCCAAGAAAACTCCAAATGGGATCCTGAAGAGTTGGACATGACCAAACAACAGCATGCTATGGTCTTGTCATTCTCTTAATCTACTAGCGTAGCAACTTTGACAAAAAAAGGAAAGGAGGCTAGTGGGGACATGACTTGTTCTTGATGAACCCATGCTGTTTCCAGAGGTCACCTCTTCCCTCCTAATTCTTTATATAGTCTATTCTAGTATTTTACCAGGAGCCAGCATGAGGTTGGTTCTGACCTATCATTTGGTTCCGACATATCATCTTGCTTTCTCTTTTTTAAAATCACATCAATGTTTACTTGTTTCCAGCTCTGTGACATCTCTCTGATTTATCAGTAGTGCCTGAAGTTTACTAGTAGCAGTTCAGCAATTACGTGGGGTCAGATGGTACAAGTCCCTCATTTTATACATGAAGAAAATGAAGCACCCAAAATGAAATAACTTGTCCAAGGTTATATAGGTCACAAGTAGCAGAACCTGTATGTGAACTCAGGTCTTTTGGCTCCCAACCCCTCATGCACTCTACTGAGAGCTGATGCAATTGGGTACAACAGTTCTCTATATATTAGTCTTATCAGTGATAGGAGGAAGCTTGGAGATCAATAGTGTGATCAGAAGAGGAGGCGGGCAGATCACATAGCAAGATTGAGTGATGGACACTACATGGCAAGATGGATGGAGCACTGGGCCTATAATCAGGAAGACTTGAATTCAAATTTGGCCATAGGCACTTATTAGCTATATGATTTGGGCAAGTCACTTAAACTAGTCACTGCCTCAGTTTCCTCATCTGCAAGATAATAATAGCACCTACCTCTAAGGGTTGTTGCAAGGATCAAATGAGATTGTATTTGTAAAGTGCTTTGTAAAACTTAAAGCAATACACACACATCTAGGCTAGCTATTATTGTCATTGTTTATTATTATTATTGTCATTATTTTGAAAGACCTAGAGAAGAAGGCCTACAACACATTACAGTGATTTTCCCTGGAGGATTTGAAAAGACATGGACAATATACTACAGACTGAGAAGACTTGGATGGGTTCTGATATGTAAGAGCTGAGCATTTATGCTTGTGAATGAGACAATAATCCCTTTCTCCTCATCTCTTGCCTCTTTCACACCATTAAGTGTTTCTTATATGGCTAAAGGCAGGTTGGGCACACTTTGGAACAAGGGGCTATGCCAACCTAACAATAAAATCCTCATAATCACCATTGCCTCAGGGCTTCCCAACTATCCAACCCTCTGGCTCACTAGCCCCAGGTGACATGAGCAATGATTTGGCACTGGAAAGATAACTCTGCTCTGCAGGAAACCTGGCACACACCTTCTCTTCTTTCTCTAGGTCATGCCGACTGCTCCTGGATGGCCAGGATTTCATTATGATTTCCCGAGACAACTTGCACACTAAAGAGAGGGAAGGGTCCATGGAACAAGGAGAGCAGATGTTCTTCCAGAAACATATAGCTAATAAAATGAGGAAGAGGAATAATTGGAAAAGAAGATCTACTCAGTTTTCCTCCATTTGATTCTCAAATGAAAATTTTTTAAAACCTATATCCTATTCCCTTCTCACCCCTCAAAAGTCAGCAAAGTGGCCATTTAGAAATTCTCTTTTTGTGTCTACCTATTGTTGATTGTATTCAGGGCTTTAGGTGAAGTGGACCTAAGTGGGAATCACAGTGTCAGTCAGTTCTTTTTTGGAGGGTTCCCCTTATATTTTGCTCCTCATCGGTGGCCTTTTCTGAAGCCCTACTCTGAGGAATGGAGGTAAGGCAGCTTCAGAAGAGCATAAGCTCTATTGGCTCCTAGGAAAGTATCAATTGGGAATAAACTATATACTTAGGGTCCCAGGTATAGCCTGGCTAAGTTTGGAGAACCTTGTCATAAGGGGTTTGGTTACTGAGTGGTGAATTTTTTCAACCATAGCAATTTATGAAGACCTTCAACTAAGACAGAGGATTGAGGATTCTTAACACACTCAATGGTGGAAAAGACTCCTCTTATTTCTGCTTCTGTGGGTGGGAGGTAAGTAGGGTCGGAGGTAAATAGGGTCAGAAGTAGGAAAGAAGAACCATTTTGGACTGGATAACTTTTGAGATACCTTACCACTCTACCATGTGTAACCTGGGCTTCTCTGGGCATGCCCATTTCTAACATGGAGACACTCTTGAGACGACCTTGACATGACCTTGGCCCCTGTCCAAATTGCCTAAAATGGAGGCTTCTTCATCCCCTATTACATCCTTTTATTGACTACCTAGGTCTTTGAAACTGGTGAGACTGAGCTATTCATTCTCTTTTCTATTATCTTTTTTTTTTCAGCTGCTGTCCATTCATCGATTCCTATCTGCTTTGCCCATGAACTGAACCAGTGACAGGGGAAAGAATGTCCTTCTTCTCCCTTTCTTTTATACTAGCCCTGAGAAATGCATCTAATGGTGTTTGTTTCTCTTCTGTGTTGTTGTCCTTCTCAGTTTCAGGTGCCAGAGGTAATCCCCATAGAATGTAGGAGTTGAAGCCACAGTGACTTTGGAGCCCAGAATACAGCAGAGTAGTGTAGCCAGTCAACCTAGCATGGAAACCTGAGAAGCCACAGTGCTTGGCACTTGAGTTTGAGGGAGGTTTTGGACTTGAAAGTGGATCTTTGCTCTATAGGATTTGAGCTAAACTGTGAACCTAATTCTTCTCCATTCCACAGAGACTGAGGTGGTGCAAGGGGTAGAGGAATTGTGCCTCCCGTGTGTTGGGGCAAGTAAGCTTGTATATTCGTGACAATAACCTTTGAAGTAAATGTGCTTTTGTAAAAGCTCCACTGTGTTACACATGCTGTAATTCTTTCCTTCAGAACCTCAAGTCCTGATTGTATTGAATAGACTTTGTATTGACTGTATGGAGAGGCTTTGTGATTTATCAGAGAGTTGGCCTCAAAATCAACACCTGAGTTTAATTAAGTTCCACTTCTGATACATGCTGGCTGTGTAAATCTGGGAGAGTGACACCTCTCCATGCCCCAGACAACCCTCTGTAAGACAATAAGCTCGAGGGAAGGTGCCCATCTGCACTGGGAGAAAGAATCCCCTATACCAGAGGTGTTAAATATGTGGCCTACACCACATTGACACTGGAATACTCCCAAACTGGGTCAAAACCAAATTAGAATGTAATTGGGAAATATTTAATAAAATAAATACAATATAATAAATATGATAAAAATACAATAGAATATAATGTTAACATGTGGTTTTCTAAGTCAATATATGGTCTACAAGAATCCTTAAGTGTGATTTAAAGGCCTTTGTTTCTTTTTGAGATTGACACCATTGCCCTGTACCAATAAAATTAATCAACAAACATTTCTTAGGCACCTGTTATGTTCCAGGCACTGTGCTAGGTGATAGGGACACAAGTATAAAGAGTTAGATAATCTCTACTTGCACAGAGCGTCCATTGGTCCAGTCTAAAAGTAAAAATGTTGACTAGGTAGTACAGTAGAAAGAGAGCTGGAATCAGAGTCAAATCCTAACTCCGACTTACTATCAGTGTGATCTTGAGACTTTTTAACCTCTTTTTTCCCTTCCATCTTTGCTACTTAATTTATTTTATTTTTAATTTATGGAATAAAACAAGCATTTCCATAACATAATGTAACATGAAACTACAACTTATTATGTACAACTTGCTATTCCTTTTAAATATATAATAGTTATCATGTAAATTTCTTTTTTTTTTCATTTTTTTCTTCCCTCCTCCCCATTCCCACCCTAAACATGGCTACCATTAGACACAAATGGGTATATATGTAAAATTATTCTGTACATACTACTATTTATCAGTTCTTTCTCTGGATGATGACAGTATCTTTCTTTGGTCTCAGTTTCCTTATCTATAAAATAAAGAGGTTGGACTAGATCAGGTGTGGGGAGCCTGAAGACATGGCTGTGAAGTTTGGATTCCATTAAAGGGCCCTACTTGAGGACCTAGAGGGCCACATGTGGTGCTGAAGTTTCCCCACCCCTAGACTAGATGGTGTGTGAGGTCATTTCTAGTTCTAGTCTTTATAAAATGATGATCTAACAGTAAAACATAACCTTGCCCTTTCTCATAGCAATCTACCTTTCCCCCAGGCAGAATGTTTCTTCTTTTAAGCTAGAGTGTGGTTGGAGCCAGCATAACTTCACTTGCATAAAACAGAGATGCCTATGAATAGTCAATAAAAGTCGGAAGAGAGACTGCCGGAGAGGGGGGAGGATGAAGGCAGCAGCTTGAAATACAGTTAATTCTTCATTGCTCACTTCCCTGGTCTCCTGCAGAAAGGGTGCTAGACTCTGAATGCTCTGTGCTTGGCTGGAGACAGCTGATATGGAAAGTGCTTTCTTCTCTCCTTTTGGTGTACTATGTAAATCACTTGTCAGCAGTGGAAAAATAGAGTCCCTTCACATCTTCTAAAAGGAGAAAAAAAAAGAAAGGCCATCACCAGATTTGCCTTTTGTTATCTAGAGCTTCTGAAGGTTTACCCTGCCCATGGCTTTATTGAGCCCAACACCCAATCAAGAAAGTTCTTCCTCCTTCAACAGTCCCTGCCCACCCACCACACACACCTTTGTGCTGATTTCCTCTTCTCTCCCAGCCAATAGTTGGTCCTTGTACTGTAACATGGCGGGGGGAAGGGGGCCCTCTGGGATAATTCCTAAATCTAAAGTCAGCCCTGGACTACATCCGTTGTCCTGTCCAGAGCCAGCCTTATTTACAGACAGAATAAGCAATTACCTAGGTGAAATCCAAAGAGCTCTATCAAGGGCCCTTGCCCCCAAGGCACTGCTTCTAATGTCCCACCTGGATGTTTGAGCTTCACAGAATTGCTAGGTCTCGGTGCTGCAAGGCATGGCAGAGGTTGTCTACTCCAACTCCTCACATTTTACAATGGAGGAAACTGAGGCCAAGACAGCCACTAGTTCATGGCACAGAGGATCAAATTGTGGACTTGGAATAAGGAAAACTTGAGTTCAAATCATGCCACAAACACTAGTTGTGGGACCCTCCCAGTGGCTCAGTTTCCTTATCTGTAAAATGGGGATAATGGTAGCATCTACCTCACAGGGCTGTTACGAGGATCAAATGAGTTAACATGTAAAAGGCTTTGCAAACCTTAAAGTGCATTATAAATGCTAGCTCTTATTACTATAATTATTATTATCAGTGGTAGAGCCAGGATTGAAAACCAAATTGGCCAGTTAAAGCTTGTGTGTGTGTGTGTGTGTGTGTGTGTGTGTGTGTGTGTGTGTGTAGGGATTGGTGGGAAGAGGAGAGTACTGGAAGAGAGGGGAGAAACACTCTAAGTTTATCTGCTATTAGTAGGTTAGTGTAAATACAGATAAAGAAACTGAGACCAAGAGAGGTGAAAGGTGTTAAGTTGGAGTTAGAATTTGAACCCAGGTCCTCTGACTCTGATTCCAGCTCTCTTTCCACTGTACTACATAGTCGACATTTTTATTTTTAGACTGGACGTGCTTTCGGCTAACTGATATAGAAAACAGACAGCCATTCAAGGTCATAGGTCTTTCCTTGGGGAGCCAGGGCTGGGGAAAATAAAGGACAGATCCAGGGCACTGGACAACTGAAGGAGCCTGAAGGGAGGCAAAATGCAAGGAGAGGCTTGTTGTGAGTAGAGGTCCCCTTGGGAGATAATCTTTGCCTGGTTCACAAATTTGCCTGCAGTTGCTCCTCTGAACCTTCCTTACTAGGACAGAGGCTACTCTCGCTCGAGGAAGATGAAAGACTTTCTTTTTTTTTGACTTAAACCTTAACCATCTAGTCTTAACATTTTGTTCCTCGGGGGCTTCTTTTCTCTTGCCTCTTCTTTCATTCTTGACTCAACATAGGCTGAGACTCATAAGAATAATAGTAATTATGTAGCATTGTAAGGTTTGCAAAGCGCTTTATATGTTTCCTCATACGATCTTCAAAAGAATTCTATGAGATGAGTGCTCTATCATTAAACCATTTTTTTTCAGATGAGAATACTGAGGCTGATAGTGGTTAGGTGACTTAGGCAGCTAGGTGACACAGTGGATAGAGCAGTGGGCCTGGAGTAAAATCCAGCCTCAGACACTCACTACCTATGTGACCCTGGACAAGTCACTTAATCTCTGTTTGCTTTAGTTTCTTCATCTGTGAAATGGAGATAATAACAACACCACCTGATTCTCAGGGTTGTTGTGAAGATCAAGTAAGATAATATTTGTAAAGTGCTTAGCATTGTGCTTGGCACACAGTAGGCACAAAATAAATGTTTATTCCATTCTCTTTCCACCTTGCTGGGGTCAAACTAGTAAGTGTCAAAGGCAAGATTCAAACTCAGGTCTTCCTGACTCCAAGCCCAGTGCTCCATCCCCTGCTCCACTCTAGCTGCCCAGGCAACTATCCTGCTACCTATCCTTTTAAGGGAGAAGGGTAAGTGTTCTTCTGAGGAGTACCACAGAAGGGAAGTTCCTCTAAATGAATGTGGACTTTCCTGGGAAAACCTGGCTTATTATTTCCCAAAAGGTAAATTCTGAAAAGCTGCAAGTCAAACAGTCCCCCTGAAGTTAAAATCAGAAAAGCAAATCCACAAGTGTAAAAGCCAGGCCTTTCTAGGGATAGTTTAGCTATAGCAGCTCAAGACCCTCAAAAGAAAAAGAAAAAGTAGGGACCCCAGACCTGAGAAAAGCCCCAAGGTGGTGCCTGCAGACTGCTCCAAGCACATTGCTGCATCCATTGGACTTGAGCAAGTCAGGGGGGCAAAGCTGAAAGGGAAAGGCCAACACAACCAAGCCCAGGGAAGCTTTTGCTGCAACTTTCAAAACTGTGGACCCAACAATAGGCAATTTCTAAAGGTCCAACAGAGTGTGTCTTGAGGGCAGGGGCTGTTTCCATTTTTCCCTTTGTCTCACCTGCTAATAAAGCATTTGTTGAATTAAATTGAAAAACCTTGGTAGACAATGTGGGAGAGGCATGGATGTGATCCTATCCCAGGATCATGGAGCTAAAAGAGGAATCCAAGGCCATCCAATCCAAGACATGTATTCAACATTTGTATCTCCTGTTACTTTCTGTAGCCTGAACAAGGGGCAGCTAGGTAGTACAGTGGATAGAGCACTGGGCCTGGGGTCAGGAAGACTCATCTTCCTGAGTTCAAATCCAGCCTCAAACACTTACCAGTTATGTGACCCTGGGCAAGTCACTTAACCCTGTTTGCCTCAGTTTCCTCATCTGTAAAATGAGCTGGAAAACAAAATGGTAAACCACTCTAGTATCTTTGCCAAGAAAACCCCAAATGGCATCAAAAAGAGCCTGACACAACTGAAATGACTGAAGAAGGAGAACAACTTGAACAGTTTTAAAACAAAAAACAAAAACTTTAGGCTTGGAGGATTTTAAGGTCTAGTGGGAGAGATGAGACATAAGCCAGGGAAACATTAAAAATAAAATAAAAGATTTAAACTGTAGTTCAAGCCAAGGGTACAAGAGGTGTCACAGAGCAGTATGTGATTAAGGACTACCTAAATACAGGCCCAGGCCCTAAATGCAAGGGGCGACAAAAGAAGGGAGACGTCAGAGTGGCCTAGAATAACTAGAGAAGGTTTTTGAAGATGTCAGGGATGTTAGAGGGGGAATCTATGTGTAATAAGGTCTCAGAGCTGCCCTTTCTGGTCCCAGGAGACTCACCATGAGGGAGCTTTGGAGCCAGTTTCTAGTCTTGTATATGATTCATTGCTGAGAGGCTTGCACTGGGAAATGAGTCCTCTAATTGGCTGCCAAGCAAGAGGAGCTGATGACCTTTCTCGTCCTTTCTGATTGTGAATCATTTCTTTAATTGTTTACAAGCTCCATCCTAAGAGCTGGATGGAGGAAGGCTATATGGCCTATTCCGCCACCCTGGCCTCCACATAGTTATGGGCGCAGGGCAGCAAAAACGCACGTCCAGCATGGACAAGCCTGAGCCTGGGCTTGGCCTACCTCTTTTGCATTTCCTTTCCCAAGTGGGTGACTTGGCAGCATTGTCAACAAGGACAAGTCCAAGCTTGGAGGTCACCTTGTGAGTTTAAAAGGTACAGAGGTGAGTGAGTATAGCAGCTACTGCATCAGCATCTACCCAAGCAATTTGTTGTAGCAGTGAGAGGACTGATAGACTATGGAAACGTCTGAGCACAAAGTTGAAAGGAAGTTTGAGTTTGGGGGTGGAGTGATAACGTCGGGTGGTAAGTTAGTTGGTTGATTGTAGTCCTTTGTGCTCGAAGAGGACCAAAATGACATCATTACATCGGGATCGAAGTACAGTGTGTCTGACTGCTGCTGATCAGACCAATATGAGCTTGGAAGGTTCTTCCACAGGTTGGACAAAAATAGCCTATTTGAACATTGGGATGGAGATGTCTCTGGATTTGTGCATCTTACGTTTTCCTTGTACTACTGCGATTCTGCTTTGCTCATGGAGCACAGCGCCTTCTTTGAGGCAGGCATGCAATGCTAGATGGTACTGTGCCAGTATCTCCCATATTTCACATTGATGGAAAATCCTTCAGAGAGACCTTGAGAGTGTCCTTGCACCTCTTCTTCTAACCTCTGTGTGAGTTCTCTGTAAAATATAGTCTTTTAGGCAAATGTACATTTGGCATTCAAACAATGTGACCAGCCCATCAGAGTTGTGTTCTCTGCAGTAGAGTTTGAATTCTTGGAAGCGCAGCTTGAGAAAGGATCAGCATCCTGTACTTTATTTTGCTAGGTGATCTTCAGAATCTTCCTAAGGTAATTCAAATGGAAGCATTTCAGTTTGCTTGCGTCAGGCTGGTATACTGCCCAGGTTTCATGGCGTACAACAATGAGGTCAGCACAACAGCTCTGTAGACCTTCAGTTTGATAGGCAGAATGATACCTCTCCCACACTTTCCTTCAGAGCCTCCCAAACACTGAGCTGGCTCTGGCAATGCATGTGTCAACCTCATCATCTATGTGTAGAGCCAAGGTGGAATATGAAGTGTCTAATTAGCCATTAAATGGCTTTATGTTCTGATAAAGTTTAAACATCGGCATCCAGTAGCCTGTAACAGTATTTATAAGTTGCTGAATCATATTTTAAGTTTTTGTTCTGCTAAGGCACACTTGTAAGTGCCCTGGCTTTAGCATTTCCTGAGTCTTTAGGAATAAAGCACCTACCTATCCCATATCTGATTCCTATTATACACTGAATGCCTCTTTTACTCCCCCATTTTGGGAGAGCTAGATACAAACTATAAGTGGTGACTTTATATTTTTCTTCTCACCTCTGACCTCTCCTCTTACTGTACTTGAAAAATTGTGGCAATACACATTAGCCACTCAGAAATACTACCAAATAACGCTCAAGTTCAGGTCAAGATGGATTGTAAATGAATTAAAGAAGCATCATACCTACCAGAAGGTGACACACTCTTACTTCATCATGGTTTCCTCTGAACAAAACTTTCAGACATCTGGCCCAGCCGTTAAACCCTTGGAGAACCTACAGTGAGCAAAAAGAGAGAATGGGGCTTTGAAAGACCAAGTGCTATCCATGTAGAACCATGTCTCAGGAGCAGTAGAGTACCAATCCCCACCCATCACACTGCCCTATGGCAGGAGTCAGTACACCAGGAAAGAGGGACAAGCTTTGTGTCACTTTCTTTCTTAGCTTCCTCCAAAGTAAAGGCTCATTGCTTTGGAGGAAAGGTTGCACTGCTATTGATTTAGGTCTGGCTAAAATGTTTGCTTTGTAATCCTATATTGTGCCGAGTTTGTCCATAAATGACCCTTGTTCCAATTTCTTGGGTTAATATTGAATAGAGGTAATGCCCCCTGATGAAGTAGTCATTGTATTCTCACCTCCCGAACAATCCCCCATCTGTTCTCCCTTCCTTCCTGTTCATCTCTGAGGACAAAGTTTCCTTTTTCTACAAATATTTCACCAAGGTCATCAATTATCTGCACGAACACCTGACTCAGTCTGAACTGCTCTTTCCTTTCCTTCATATGTGAACTTGGACCTCAAAGAATCATATATTCATAGAGGTATTATGGACCTTAGAGGTCATTTAATCCAGTGATATAATGGAAAGGGAACTGGAATTTGATTCAGAGGCCCTGGTTCTTCCACTTACTGCCTGTATGACCCTGGGAATGTCATCTCACTACTTGTGCCTCAGTTTTCTCATCTATAATATTTCATGAATAAGGAGATGATAGCCCTACTGTACTCTGCCTTGGCCAGACTTCATCTGAACAGCATAATGTTCAGTTCTGGACAGCACATTTTAGAAAGGACATCATTAATAAGCTGAAGAACATTCAGAGGAGGGCCACCAGGATGGAGAAGGCCTTTAAATCTAGTCCATCTGAGGATCAGGTGCAGGAACTGGGGGGGTTTAACCTGGAGAAGAAAAGGCTCAGGGATGCATCTACACTGTGGAAGAGAGATTAGACTCATTCTGCTAGAACCAGGGGACAGAATAAAGAACAATAGGTGGAAGCTGTGAAGAGACACATTTTGGCTGAATGCTAAGACTTCATCTTCTTAACAGTTAGAGTTACTCAATAGTGGAATGGACCACTCCAGAAGGTGATGGGTTCCCCCTCATTGGAGGTCTCCAAGCAGAGCTCAGCTGATCACCCTTTGGGTGTGTTGAAGAGTCTTTTTGAATCAATGAAAAAGCTTTCCTTGAGTGCTTAACTGCATGCCAAGTGCTGAGCTAAATGTTAAGGCTACACATAGAAAAATAAGAGCTCCTGCTCTCAAGGAGAACACACTGTCATTAGGGGAGATACGACATAGAGGAAGGTCAACTTCAAGGAAAATAAGTTCCAAAAGTCCTAAGGAAGAAATGGAAAGGCAGACGGCAAGCCTCAGAAGTCCTTAGGACTTAGAACCCACAGTTCTGGAGGGAATGATATTCGAGTAGATGGTACCTCCCAGAGGACCTTCAGGATGCAGTGGCAAGGCAGAAGGTAAGACCTGGTGGTCCTCACTGTTACCAGGAGAATTGTAGCTGATGATTTCCTTTTCACCCAAGCAGGGTGAGCACTGGTGGCGGCCCTGGAGGGACCTGTCACCCCTCTGGGAAGGAGGGACTGGGCCTAAGGGTCTGGATAGCATGGGGATTTTAGCTTTCTTCCCATAGGTAGGAGGATGAGTTGGGTCCATGTTCAGCAAATAGGAGGAGGGTGAGAAGGCATTGGCAGGAAGATTGAGGGAAAAGTGGTATTTGTTCTGCTGGGCTCTCCAGTACCTGCATGGGGTCCAGAAAATGACTGGGTGAGGGCAGAAGGACCCCATGCTCGTATGTGTTCCTGACTATTTGGAGGCATGTAGTGAAGTAGAGGGTCACTGAAATTCTGTGATTTCATACTGATTGATCTCTGAGAGCTCTCTTAGCTCTAACTCCCAAGAACCCATAGCTGAACCTGAAATCCCTTCTAAATCTTCCCCAACTAGCCTTTGTTCCATTTCTGCTCCAATCTATTCCCACAAGCATTTAGTATGTACTTACTACGTTTAATATGCTGTGCTAGGTGTTGGGGAAACCAAGACAAAACAAAAATATCCCTGCCCTCAAGGCGCATCCATTCTGCTGAGGTGGATATAGTACATAACATTACTTCATTAGGTGGTCTAGGTTAAAGTCTCAAAATCCTACTTTCAAGTAAAGTCAACAAGCTTAAGTACTCCCTATTGTGTTAGGCACTGTACTAAGCCCTAGGGGTACAAAGAAAGGCAGAAATAGCCCCTGTCCCCAAAGAACACATAGTCTGATGGGGGACACAACACATAGGTAACTATGTACAAACAAGATATGCAGAGGGGTACTAGATCTCAATCCATGTTACCTTCTAGTTGTAATAGTCTGTGGTTTTCATGCTCTCATCATGCATTAAATAGACTTCTGAGTTTACACACCCTGGGACAGTCACATTTCAATCCTTTTCATTCTTCGTGCCATTCTTTCCCTCTTTTGCCTTAATGTAAATAGACAAGGTCTTAGCTAGATGATGTGTGTTAAAGGCCTGGGAGTCCATTTCCAAATAATAGGATTCAAAATGTATAAATGAGCCCAGTGGATTCTGGGTAAAGGGAGAACAAAACATGAGTTCTGTGACCTGCATCAGGCTTGGATAATGGAAGGGCAAGAGAAGTCACTGTCTAATTGCAAAGGTACTTTATGTACAGTAACACTGCCCCCAGGCCCCCAGGGGAGGGGATATACTAGCTAGTGCCTCTTAGAGCCAATTCATTCTACCTATACCTACCTGGACTAAGACTCCTAAAGTAGTTACTAAGTACCTCCCTAGCCAGGGGTGGGGAACTTGGGGTCTTGAGACCACATGTGACCTCAAAGCCACAGGCTTCCCACCCCTGTGCCTAGGCCATATTCAACAAGACATCATATGGCCCAAAGGTGATAATGTGGTTTTTAAGGGGCAGAACCAGGGTTACATATTAGCAAAACTGAAGTCCCAATCCTCCGTCTCTACCACTTTCCTAGACAAAGCAGCTTTTGCATCCCACCATGGAACCCCCACTCTGAGGCCCAGAGAGGCTGTGTGACCTGCCCATGGTCCTACAGGGGCAAAACTATGACTAAAATTTCATTTTCCTGACTCTCAAGACACTTGCCACCATACTGCCCTGTTTCCTCTTCCATTCTTTGGATTCCCCACATGTAAGATGAGGAAAGTTCACGGATCTATTGCTATAAGGGACTTTGGACATCTGGTACAATTTCTTCATTTAAAATGAATAAATAAAGCCCAAGTTAAGGGGAGAAAGTGTTTAAATGACTTGCCCGAGGTCATACAAGTAGTAAGCATCAAATTAGGAATGTGAATTCAAGTTCTCTTTCTCCAGAACCAATGATCTTTCCACCTTACCAAATTGGACTAGAACGGCCCTTAAGGTCACTTCCTACTCCAACATTTTCTGATTGTGTGGTTAGGGTTTGAATCTAAAGGGCTTCTCCTCTAATGACATTCTTAATGTAGTAGCTCTCCAGGGACTAACATCTTACAAAATCTGAGGGGTAGAGAGGAGGGTTCAAGAAGCAGGTTTTCTTTACCCTTTCCAAAGGGCAATCACTTGATCCTTATGAAGTAATTTATAAGCCCTAGCCTCTGCTGTGTGTTATACAGGACATCAACAATACACTTTCTGTCAATTCATCTTAACTTACTTTTTCCCTCCTTTTTTCATCCCACTGGACCCACAATAATTGACATCAGGCCCCAAGTCTGGCAGTCCAGCCAAAAGAAAAAATAAGTGACACTTGGGCAGGCCCAGGGAAACATCTGTGGAGAACATCTGTAAGGCAGTTGGCAAAGTCTAGGTGACTGGTGACCCCAGACTCCCTGCTTGCTTTGGCAGATGCCCAAATCTCTTCTCCAACTTGCAAGGCTGGGTTCTAATGCCGCCACCACCTCAATCAATAATGACTCCTAAAGCTAGAAAAATTGTGGAAAAAGCATGAAAAGTCATGGAAGCCTCATTGCTGCACGGAGGACAGACTTCAAGCCTGTCAAGACCTGAGCAGTGCAGGCCCTCCAGAGCTGATGAAATCAGCACCACTTAATAGTAATGCAATGGGCTGAAACAATAGCCCGAAGGACTAGATACAGGTCTTAGCAGGCAGGTGCCAAGGGAGCGCTTGTAAAATACATACATTCAGAAAACTGTAACATTTATGAATTTTTTAAGGCTCCCACCTTATACATTAGTGATTTGGGAGTCAAATACAAGTGTGCACGATTTTTGCTGAGTGAAGCTTGGGATAATCTTAGATGGCCCAGCCTAAGAATTTGATGAGGATAGTTCAAATCCCATTTCAACTTAATCCAATTCAATAAATGCTTGTTGGAGTGAATTGAACTGAAGGAATATTTGTTCCCAACGCTGCCGTAGGCACTTCAGGGGGAGGGAAGAATAAGCAAGAAGGATACAGATGAACCTTACCCTAAAAGAGAGAATAAAAGGAGAGTAAATAAAATAAATAATGGCCTCTGAGGTGCTTCTATTTCTAGATCTATGATCCTGTAGTTCTCATAGTCGAACCTCATTTTACAGAGGAAACTGAGTCGCAGAGAAGACCTACTCAAAGTCACACTGCTTACACAATATCCTGGCACTTAGTAAAAGTTTATTAACTGACTGACTGACACTGGAAGTGACAGCCAGGATTCAAACCCAGGTCCTTTGGCTCCAAATGTTTGGTGACATGAGAGTTGCTGGCAAAGGAGTACCCAGCATGGTGTACCCTCATCAAAGAAGGAGCTGGGCTCTGTGAGCAAAGCAGAATCGAAGCAGCTCCAAAGAAATGTGAGATGCACAAATTTAGAGACATCCCCACCCCCAAAATTCACGTCGACCATTTGTGCCTGACCTGTGGTAGAGTGTTCTGAACTCATATTGGTCTGATCAGCCACAGTCAGACACACTGTAACTTGACCCCAACATAGTGATGTCATTTTGGTTCTCTTCAA